TGGCGTTCACCCCTCCTGGTGGGAGAGCGTCCCCCCCATGCTCATGGGCTTCCTCCCTGGCGCCCACCTGAGCACCGCCAGGACAGGGGCCTGGCCCCACTGCACTGTCTAGGGCAGGAGTGACCTTGCCATTGAAGAGGGAAGTGGGAGTGGAGGGGAGAAGGCGTGGACATAAGTAGCTAAAATGAAAGCACAGTGGGCCACAGAGTCTTGCGGGGGAGGGGGGGGCGGGCGGGGGAGAGGGGGCGGGGACGAGGGGGCAGGGAAGAGGAAAGCCTGTGTGTCTCCTGGGAATCAGGAAAAACAGTTGAAAGAATGAGCACTGGGAAGTGCCTCAGAGGATGATGTCATAACAAAATGCCGCTCTGACAGCAACGTCACTGCAAGCATTCCGACAGCAGCCGAGACGCACGGAGTGTTTACTGCGTGCCGGGCACACACAGCACTTTACACACTCACCCTGCCCAGTCCTTGCGCCCATTTGACACGCGGTGAGAAACTAGCGAGCCTGGGAACGCAGATAGAGCCCAAGCATGCGTCCCCAAGGCCAGCCGAGTTAGCAGGCTGCAACGGAGAGCTCCTTCCAGAAGGCCTGGGCACAGGCAGCAGGAGGCAATCATCAGGGAAGGGCGCTGGGAGGCCGGTGACAGCCCACAGAGCCCCTGCAGTGCCCGCGCCGGCACCTCCTTATTCGCAGGCTACGAAGAGCCAGTCTGACAGGCTGATGAGGTCAGCGGGGACGGACTGGGACCCAGCCAATGGAGCGAAGGGGCCGTCACAATGGCCTGGGTGAGGCGCAGCTGGCCGCGCTGAGCGGGCGTGAGGCCCTGTGAGCGCGTGCTGTCTGCGTCAGGTCTGCCAGCTTATGCGTGTGTCTGAGAGGGAGAGTGTGTGCAAGTGAGTGAGCATGTGAGGGGGTGGGCCTTGCTGCGGAAGAAGAAGGTTGCAGAGCCTTCCTGGTGGGGGGTGGGGTCAGGTCAGCAGGGGGAGAGGGACAGGATAAATCCATCGCTCTGCCTGCGCAGGAGGGCCTGGTGCGTGGGCAACCATCGTTCCACAGCTCTGTGAGATAAATGAAGGCCACGGAGCTGGCAGATCGGAGGGGCTCAACGACCGTCTGTTAAAATGATGTGAGTGAACTGACGCTCCTGGCCTCGGGTCTCTTCTGAGGTCTGGCTTTGCCCTTTGGCTGTGTGGGGCCCCGGTCACCGGCACTGGACCCTCCCTCATCGCCGGCCCCTCCGCCCCAGATCAGACGTTCTGAGTGGAGCAGCCGCACTGCGAGTCCCAGCCCTCGCCCTGGGCCTGTGCGCCCTCGCACATCTTCCTACAAACTCCAAGCGGGCTTCCTGCTTACCCAGGTCAGGCTCTCCCTCCTCCCTCCTGTTCCAGAGCAGAGATGCTGCCAAAGGCTCCCCCCTTCCAGAGGAAAGCCCCCCACCAACCGAGGGCCCGGAGTTCATCCTCCCCAGAGGACGCTTCTTTCAAGGCTCCACCCGCCCCAGTTTGGGTCCCGGCAGAAGAGAGCAGGTGGACCAGTGTCTGGGGGCCGGCTCCACAGCCCAAGAGAAGGAAGCTTGGGCTCGGTCTCCTGGGCACCTGGGTGCAGGCGGAGGCTCTCTCTGGAGTAAACGGAGACCAGCCCCTTTCTGCTCAGCTCACTGGCAACCCTGTTTAATGAAATCATTACGATTCAGCACCAGAGACAAGGGGTCTCTTTCAGATTGCATAATCGACAAAAATTGAGAGGAAGAAATGCCTTGGAAATCATGGAACCTAACCCCCTAAAAACAAGGTGTTATTGACAGGCCTGAGGTGGAAATAGAGGTCTGAAATCTTGGAGGCTTTCAGTTGCTTAAGATCAGTCTCAGCCATTTCTGACTTTCAGCAAAAACATGCCTGTGGAATGAATGCGCTTACCCTCAGGGAAGAGCCTGGACTAGAGCCCGTCTGTGCCTCCAGGCTCACAGCCTTCACGCTGGGCCTCTGCCTCCTGGGGCTGGGCTGTCAGGGCTGCTTTATCTCCTCTAGGCTCGGGCAGAAGCTGGCGGCGCTCTGTCAGACAGTGAGTCCAGATGGCGGCCACCTGAATCCCACAGGGCTGGGGGCAGGGGAGTGTGTGCTGATTTACTGCGTTTCCAGGGTCTAGGGAATGGCTCCTTCTTGCCACACCCTCCAAGAAAACAAAATGAAGCAGGCTTCCCACCCACAAGGGGGCCTACACTTGGAAAGGACATACCAGTCCCCAGAGGGCTGCTGAAGGTCAGATGGCCCAGCCACTACTTGGGTGTGAGCCTCCATTTCCCACCTGTGCCTCAGTTTCCCCATATACACAATGTCCTGGTTGGATGTTCCCTCAAGGCCCCTTCTGGCTCTTAAAAATCCAGAACTCTAAGGTCAGGAGCTGTGTCTTCCTCCTCTCCTTCATGTCCCCAGCAACTCACACACAGTAGATCCTTAACAAGCTCACTGGATGAATGAGATGGGTCCTCGGTCAGTCCCAGGATCACGGAGGTCAGGAAGACTTGCCTCCTGCCTACCGCCTAATCCTCATAGAATCCACAGGTCTCACTCAGCACAGCCCTGGCAATCCCACAGCCCACTGCAAACCTGCTTCCTCTCTGGGAAGCAGAGATGTGGCTGGAGGAGCCAAGCAGGAAAAGGTGCCAGGGAAGAGAGGGAGGCCTGGACGCCAGACAGCTCTCCCGGCCCGACGTGCACTTTGCTAACTCACCTGGCTCCTCTCCTTCCTGCTCTTCTGACTTCCCCCATCCATGGCCCTCTCTCCCCCTTGTAGCTGCTCCCGGCCCCTCTCCATCCCTGCCACCTCTAGGAGGCTCCGAGCCTTCTGCTGGCCGAAGACCGCCTGGCCCTCCATGAGGCCAGAAGACAGAAGGGCCTGAGCAGACTCCTAGGCTGGTCCAGGAGCCTCGGGCTTGCTCAGGGGCAGGGCATGGAGAAAGCAGCCGTGAAGACTTACGTTCTGACCCAGGAGAGGGGCTCCCCTTAGAGAAGATCTCTCCACCTGCCTCTCAGGGTTCCTGGGAATGTGTCCCTCCGGCCTCTTGGCCCTCCCCTATATGTGCAGGCACAGAGCCTGTCAAGGCAAGAAATGTCCTATCTCCCAGCTGAGATCTACCGAGAAGCACCGTGTGTGTGTGTGTGTGTGTGTGTGTGTGTGTGTTATAGTTTTTGTGTGTGGTGTGTGTGTGCATGTACACTATGATGGCAGGGCGTATGGGTGGGTGGTGTTGTAGTGGTATGCGTATGTTGTGTTTGGTGTGCATGTGATGTGATATACGTGCAACAGCGGTGGTGTGTGTGCAGGATGGCATGTATGCATGTGTTTGTGATGTGTACTGTGGGGGGTGAGGGGAGTGGGTACAGGGGCCATGTCAGTTTGGGTGGGAGCTAGCTAGGCAGGGTCCCCTGCCAGAGGAGCCACAGATACCCAGTATCCAGGCAGCCATGTTGGGGGGCGGGAAGGAGACAGGAGGTGAGGAATGGGCAGGAAAAGGAAGGAGGCTGCGAATTAGAGGCATCTCCATGGAAACTACCAGGCAGGTCACATGCCAAAGGCTAAGTTGCTGAAAATGTATACACATCCACAATATGAGAGCAGGAGGCCCCGGAGTGGGGGTATCTTCAACCATCTCCAAACCTGGGGATCCGGCCAGAGAGCACCCGCCCAGGAGACCAGGGGAGAGGGGACAGAGGCCACCGGTGGGGCGAGGCCGCAGCAGCCTTGGCCCCATGGCTGGGGGCGGGCAGCGGTCTGGGCAGGCCGTTTCTCAGCACAGCCGCTCTCTGCTCCCACCTGGGAGCTTTCTCCTCCAGCCACCACTTGTAAGAGCCAGAAGCCGGCGCCAGGAGCGCCTCCAACTCGCACGGAAGCTCCGGGAGACACAATGGGGAGGTTCTGCCGGTCGCCCCGCCCGGGAAGGGGCTGGGTAGGAGGAAAGGAGGGAAAGGAGGGGATGGGGGGGGCGGGGAGCAGGGCTCCCTAAAAGACATCGGGACTAGATAAACAAGGAGGAAAACACTCATGATCCCCGCACCCTAGAGCCCCAGCCCTTCTCTGCCTCCCCCAACCGCCCTGCCGCTCCCCTAACCAGCAAGTTCCATTTTGTGTCGCTCCTGTGTGCACACGCACGCCCAGCCGCCCGCCCAGGCTCTATCCGGGGGCCACGCTTGCAGGTAGCAAAGGGGAGGCGCCCGCCGGATAAGGATGGTGCAGCCCTTTCCCCTTCTCCCCCAAACCAGAGCCCGCGCTCCAAGCGAGCGCGTGCACAGCCACGGCCTCGCCGGGCCTCTGCCCAGGGGCCCCTCTCCCCTCCGACGCCCACCTCCTCCTTCGCAGCCGCCGCCCGGGGAGACGGCTCACACCCGCGAAACCAGCAAACCGCGCAGCTCGCCGGCGCCTCCGACCCTTCCCCGCCGGAGCCTCTCCCTCCGGGAAGGGGAGCCCAACCTCGCCCCTCGCAGTCGCTCACCTGCGCAGCGCGATCCTGTCACAGGCGATGCCCTGAGGACCTGCGGAGCCGGAGGAGCTGGGAGTGGCGCCCGGGGCAGAGCGGTGGGGAGGCTGTCCGCTTTCCGCCTCCTTTCGCGGGCCGGGTGGGGCGGGGGCGGGGCTCCGCGGGCTGGGGGGGTGGGAGGTGGGCGGGGCTCCGCGGGCTGGGCTGGGGAAGTGGGCGGGGCTTCGCCGGCTGGGGTGGGAGGTGGGCGGGGCTCCGCGGGCTGGGGGGGGGTGGGAGGTGGGGGGGTGGGAGGTGGGCGGGGCTCCGCGGGCTGCTGACAGATGGGGTGGGGGAGGGGAGGGGGCGGGGCTCCGCGCGCTGATGGGGGTGGGGTGGGGTGGGGTAGGGGCGGGGAGGGGGCTGCGCGGGCTGATGGGGTGGGATGGGGTAGGGGTGGGAGCGGGGCTCCGCGCGCTGATGGGGGTGGGGTGGGGTAGGGGCGGGGAGGGGGCTCCGCGCGCTGTTGAGGGACCCCCGCCGCCCTGTCAGTCCCCGCCGGCTCGCGAGCGCGTCCACGCAGGCACACGCCGCCCCCGCCCCGCCCCGGGTGGAAGGGTTCTTGCAAAGCGCGGCCCCCTCGGAGGAGCAACAGGAGCCGGCGCCGGGGGCGGGCAGCGCCGCTGTCTGAGCTCCCTCTGCTGCGGGAGGGAAGGGAGCGAGACCAACAATGACGGCCAGTGTCGCTGTCAACAGTGAACCGGGACGGGAATCAGAGGGAGCAGCCCAGCGAGCCGCCGCAGCCCGCGCCCCTCGCAGCCGGGCCGTGCGGGGAGCCCGCAGGAAGGGCTGCGTCGTGGCGCCGCGAGTCTGGTTGTCGCTGCCATTCAGCGAGATCCAGGTGGGGCGCCCACCCCAGCCGCAGATTTGCTGCCCAGAACCCCCTTTTCAAGACCTCGCCAAGTCAGCCCGCTCCGCAGGGTCCCAATTCAAGACGGAAAACTGCACCTGGAGATCTAAACCCTAGTTCCGCACAGCTCTACGGATCGAGCGCCTCCGCTTCCTCCCCTGTGAACTGGCTCCCCTGTAAGCACAGGCCCCTGGAGGCTTGGCCCAGCCCTCAGTGCTCAAGAAGCCCGGATGGGGGGAGGGGCGAGGGGAGGGGGCGGGCAGGCATGAAGAAAGGGAAGAGGCCAGCTTGGCAGAAACTCAGCAAGGCCTGGCCACTGGTTGGCACCCAGGAGGCCATGCTGCCTGCCATGAGGCTGCCCAGCCTGAGGTGAGATGGGGGGTCCACAGGATGAGGGCTGGCTGGTGAGAGAGGCTGGACCGTTGAGCCTGGGCAGGGCCCTGGGGACATCATTACAAACCTAGGAAGTCGGGCGCTGCTAGGAAGAGTCCCAGCCCTGGGCCTCCGCTTTCTCGTTTGTGCAGTGAAGGAGGTGGACAGGGTAATCCTGAGGCCCTTCCAGCGCAAATCCCAGGTAATGTAATTGTTCAATATGTTGCCCGGTCTTAACGCCTGAGCGCAGAAAGTATACATACACTGAGGAAAGCTGTGCACTGCGCTGGGGGCCACAGACAGCTCCGGAAATAGTGAGGCTCAGCGGGGTGGGGGAGACCCTAGATCATGTGACTTTCCACAGAGACATCTCCAACTCTGTCCTTCTTTCTCAAGATTGCGGTGGCTCCTAGGGGTGTTCTGTGGTTCCAAATTGATTTTAGGATTCTTTGTTCTAGTTCCGTGAAGAAAATGCCATTGGTGTTTTTTAAAATATATTTTTTATTGATTTCAGAGAGGAAGGGAGAGGAAGAGACAGATAGAAACATCAATGATGAGAGAGAATCATAGATCGGCTGCCTCCTGCACGCCCCCCATTGGGGATGGAGCCCGCAACCTGGGCATGTGCCCTTGACTGGAATCAAACCTGGGACCCTTCAGTCCGCAGGCTGACGCTCTATCCAATGAGCCACACCAGCTAGGGCACATGGTGTTTTGATAGGGATTGCGTTGAATCTATAGATTGCTTTGGGTTGTGTGGACATAAAATCCAACTTAACATGACATTCTTTCTTTACAACCCAATACCCTTTTCTGCTTCATCTCCTGAGACATTCCGTGCACTGCCTTCCCCATCCATCCATCATGCTATCACCCCAGCCCTTGCCAACACTGTCCCCCAGCTCAAGAGGGCCAGTCACAATTATTCCAGCTCACTGCTTGCTTTTCTGCCCCAAACTGTTACCCAGATAATTTTCTCTCCTTCAAACATTCTCTCTTTCACTTCTTTACTTACCAGGATCCTACCTACTGGGCAAAACTAAATGTAAGTACCACCTACTGAAAGGGAAGCTGTCTTGTCCCTGCTGCCATGAGCAGTGCTGTCTCCACATCTGTCCTTGGACATGTCAGAGTCTGACTTTTATGATGTCTAATTGCATGTGTGCTGCCCCAATGGAATGGGACTTCCTTGGGGTCGGCCGAGCATATTACTCACCCATAGACCCCAGTGTCTTGCTTGGCAACCCGCTTATACTAGTTGAATTTAAGGGACTCATAGCTCACAAGACCCTACATGATCTGGCCCCACCACCTTTTCAGATTCATGTTGACTACTCTCTTGCTCACTCTCTCTCCAGCCAGAAATCCCTCCGTTTAACCACAGGGTCTGCAGACCTGGCTCCCTGCGCACTGGCACCTCAGGCTAGACAAGGCCAGTGAGTGCATGTGCATTGTTCTCTCTCACCATGATGAATGGATAAAGCAGCTATTGAGGGCACAGGCAGGAGAAAACTGGGTGGTGAGTCTCCCCAGAGCTCCTAGGCCAGCAAAGAAGGGCAGGTGACCCTGACACTGACATTGTAGTTCAGGGAAGGATGTCTCCATGGAGCTGGAGGCACTGGGGAGGGTGGCAGACATGGTTGGTTCCCTAGATCCACTCTCTTCTTTTCCCTTCCTATCAGAACTGCAATGCGTTCAATTTAAACTACCGATTTCCCAGACTCCTTTGCAATGAGGGGTGTCCATATGACCCAACTCTGGCCAAGGAGATGGGAACAGAACTGTCCTGAGTGAGAATTCTAAGGAAGACACAGTAGTATGTACCTTTTGCCTTTGACTTTTTTTCTCCCTGCTCCTCCCCCTCCTCCTCCTCCTTCTCCTCTTATTTCTCGGAAACATGGATGTGATGCCTGGAGGGGAAGCAGCCATCTCGCAACCAGGAAGAAAGAAGTCTCCTACTAAGGAGGTCGGACAGGCGGCCATCAACGACATCTGAATGACTTCATTGTGGAGTTCTGGCTTCATGAGAAAATTCAGCTCCTATTACATACATGTGCAGTAGCTCATTATCTGTTCCGTGCAGTTAGCACAGCCCTACCTGATACGATTGAGGGCCCAGCTGGGAGGACAGCATTTCATCCTGAGAAAGCCCCTCCCCCGGAAGACCTCCCTGCCAGGCACAGCCCCACGGGCACAGGCTGGCACAGCCAGCATGTCAAGGACACACACTCCACCAGCTCTCCTCTTGGAGTGGGTCCTGCATGGCCCTTCCCTTCGCTACCTTGATGCCAAGCCTTAATTGGGGGGAAGGGAAGAAAGCAGAGGCCGCCATAGTGGGAAAGTTGGAAATAAAATCTCGCTCTGCCTTCCCCCCAGGAAAAAAACAAGCCATGACAAAGCCTGGATGAGGTTTGTTTTGAAGTGAAAAATCCACGCCAGTTCCATTAGTTTGGAAAACCAGTTGCTGCCTGAATAACTGAAACCTGTCCTATAGGTGTGAACTGTCACCTCAAGGTGCTGGCGTCTAATTGTGAGCACACGTCGGCCAGAGCTGCTGGTTCTCCAGACTGGAGCACGTGACGCCTCCCCCCCAGCCCTTCCACTCTGACAATATGCCACCATTGCCACTCCCAGTGATGCCCCTGGGAGAACGCCAAGCGATGCTGCCCTTCGGAGATAATGGCGTTGGAAATGCAATGCTAATGGCTCCCCAGACAAGACCAGAATAGCCTCGCCTCGTGTTCTGCCTTCCTGGCGCACAGAGGCCGCCGCCTGTGAGCACCGCAGGCGCCTCACGCCCGCCCTCCCCGAGTGCCCGGAGCCAGCTTCATGGCGAGAGCCACCTGTTCATCATCATAGCATTTTGTCCAACCCGCTGGATGGGCTCAGAACAGAGGTGCAGCTGAGTGTGGGAGCCGGGAGAACCTGCAGCCCAGCAGGCACCTCCATTCAGACTATAAACTCGCTTTGCAAGTTGATCATCACCCACGAACTGGGCCATGTTTGCCATGCAGTTAAGATGGATTTTTATTTTCTTCTGCACCCCAGCTCCCACCCCCACCCAGAGCCTGAGCTGGTGTTTAAGAAAACAATAAAAATGACGTGGGCTGGTGGACTGTTGACCTTCTTTATATGGAAGTCACGTGAAGGCTGCAGACCAACTGCCAGGGGCAAGAGGAACGTCCCTGCACTTCTCCCAGGAGGCCTGGCGTCCCTGCGCTGCGCCTGGCGTCCCGGGGCTGCGCCTGGCCTGCCTTGGGAAGGGGACTCAATTCTGATGACAGTGGGCATTCAAGAAGGATGCTGGGCAGGTCTGCAGATCACTTGTGGCCATACAGGCACTGCCTCTCTCATCTGTTTTGTTTTAAATATGTTTTTGTTTATTTCAGAGAGGAAGGGAGAGGGAGAGAGAGAGAGAGAGAAACATTAATGATGAGACAGACTCATTGATCGGCTGCCTCCTGCAGCCATGGCAGCCGGGCCTCTCTCGTCTGTTTGTAGTGGACTCTTGGGTCCGTTGGTTTCTCCCCTCTCCCTCCCTCCTGTAATTGTTATCTCTGATGATGCTGTTCATGCAGTGGCCTCTATGCTGCGGGCATATTTAATGTCCAGCATCTAAAGCATTATCTCTATTTGTTTTCATTTTTCAGGACTTGTATCCAAGCTGAGGTGTGGCTGGTGGAGTCGATGGGTATCAAGCTCGCTCTTCTGGCCATTCGCTGGAATAGCCGTGGACGCACCCTCTCCCTGGCACATTGTTAGAACCCACAACTGTCCTCCCACGTTGGACTCACAACTTCCTGCTTTAGCCCTGGGAGGAGGGCTGCACCGTTTAGCCCGGGAATCAACCGATTGCCTACTCTCAGATGGTGAGTAACTTAGAAATGGGAAGGGTGTCTTGTTTATGTTTTTGTTTTTTGTTAATCCTCACTCAAGGATATTTTTCCATTGATTTTTAGGGGGAGTGGAAGAGAGACAGGGAAAGACCGAGAGAAAGAGCAATGTGAGAGAAACACACCGATTGGTTGCCTCCTACACGCACCCTGACCAGAACCTGGGCTGGGAGGAGCCTCCAACCAGGATATGTGCCCTTGACCAGAATCGAACCCGGGACTCTGGTCCTCAGGCCAATACACTGAGCCAAACCGGCTAGGGCTTGTTTATGTTTTATCCCTCCTCTACTTGCCAAAAGAATTGGTATATGATGGGTGTTTGCTGAATGCAAAAGACAGGACGGGTATTGACAGAGAAATCCAGCGCAAATGAATTAGCCCCCAGAACAGCGCTTCCAGGCTGTTTGGTGTGGGAGGAGGGAGAGGGGGGAGGGCGCGGTGGGGAGCGGCTCCCTGAGACATGGTCACAGGTCGTGGGCACAGCACACTCGTCTTCAGTCTGCTGTAAAATTATGGTGAACTGTGTTTACAAAGACGGCCTCAGTCCTGTCTCCTTCCCATGGGCTCCCAGCGAAGCTCTGCCACCCTCCCGCTGAGAGTGGAGTCTGCCTCCTGTCCCTGGTCCGGGCTGGCTCTGACTTACTCTGAGTCATAGAAAGAGGCAGAACCATCACTGAGTAACTTTGGAGACTGGACCTTAAGAGATCTGCAGCGCTAGCCGGTTTGGCTCAGTGGATAGAGTGTGGGCCTGCAGACCGAAGGGCCCCAGGTTTGATTCCCATCAAGGGCATGCACCTCATTTGCAGGCTCAATGCCTGACCCTGGTTGGGACACATTCGGAAGGCAAACAATCGATGTGTCTCCCTCACAATAGATGTTTCTCTTTCTGTCTCTCTCCCTCCCTTCCATTCTCTCTGGAAATCAATGGAAAAATATCTTTGGGTGAGGACTTTTTTTTTTTTAAGAGATCTGCAATTCGTGCCTTAGATTTTGTAATACCACCTCTGGGCAGCCAGCTGCTCAGCAAGGCAGAGCGCCTGCTGGAGAGAGACTGGGTGGAGGCGACCCTGACGCCTTGGATGTCCCGTCCCAGCTGGGACTGAAGGCAGCCCCTGGAGTGAGCCGACCACAGACCTCTCAGCCACCTGCCCGGCTCCTACTCCTCGGACCAGGAGAGCATCGCGAGGTGGTGCTTTAAACACCAACCGGGGAGCATTTTGTTTGCAGCAACAGATGGCTAACAGGAGGCGATGGGGCCAGCCATGAGCCAGATGCTCCAGAGGTGGGGCCTGCGCATCAGCATTTTAACAGGCCCCGCTGCCCCTGAGAGGGGACCGATTGGCTCAGTCCCGTGACCCGTTCTCGGCCCAGGCGGACCAGAGCGAGGCCTCCCGAGAATGGGTCCGGCCGCTTTCCCTTCCCACTCACCTCTCAGGGTGTCTGTCTCCTACTGAGGCGTGAGAATCACATGCTGCCTGAACTCATGGAAAACATTTTAAAATATTAACTAAGCTGTGGCCCTGTGAGTGCTGATTATTCATGTCCTGATGAAGGTAAACAGGTGAAAAGCGTCCAAGGCAAGAGGTGGGACTGATCAGGGACATCTTCCGGGGGGAGCTGGCCTGGAGCAGGAGGCTGGGCCTGGGGGAGGCCCCGGGCTGCAAGGAGGTGGGCTGGCGGGAAGGCTGGTCTGGCTGGCAGGTTCAGAAAGTCCTGCTGGGGAGGAACAGGGTTTTGAAGTTTCCGTTCAGCCTCCATTTTTCTTCTCTGGTTCTCCCACCAGCAGAGGGAGAGAGGACTGGCTGGTGCCCAGGTTCCAGGGCCTGTGACAGGCTCCCTCCGGCCCCGCTGCCGGCCCCGCTGTGCTGATGAGAAAGCTGACCGGGGCCTGGAGAGGGCAGCCCCGGAGCCAAACCAGCAAGACCCAGGGCTTCCAAACCTCACAGCCCAGCCAGCCCCCGCCCCTGTCATTAGAGCAGGCCTCAGAGACCCCACCCAGCTGTAGCTCCCGTTCTCTCCTAAGGACCCCTGTGCGAGAGGCGCACACTTTGTGCTCCCAGCTGCCCTTGCTGAGGACCGAACAAGAGAAGGGGTGTGGCTTGTAGCAGGAGAGGTCAGCCAGGCAGAGGGAAGACCTCCCGGGTCCCATGGGCAAAATGAGCGACGCTGGCCAATTTATTCCTCTGGCAAACATTTCTTGCTCAGCGAGAGGTGACGATGCTGCCTGCAGCGTCCAGGCCAAAGACAGCTTCTCTGGAGAGGCAGGAGGGGGCATGACGGTGGAGCCCGTGCCGCTGGTCCTGAGCAGACTCCCCGCTTCCTGGCCTGTGAGGAGGTATTGATGACACTGTCTGTCCCAGGGGCGGGCGTGAGGGCCAGTTGAGATAACACATGGAAAATACCCACCACTGTGCCTGGCAGTGCCAATTGCTCAATACATATTTGCTTCTTAACTTCTCTGTGCTAATTAAACCCACTCAGGCCAGCCCCCAGGATAAAACGTCATCTTTAACAGCTATCTAGTGCGTGCCTGTCAGTGCCAGCACAGAGCTAGGCATGCAGCTCACCTCCCACAGCGACCTTGAGTGCTCCGGGTTACTTACCCCCATTTCCCAATGATGAGAGAGAATCATTGATCGGCTGCCACCTGCACGCCCCCTCCTGGGGATCAAGCCCATAATCCCTGCATGTGCCCTGACTGGGAATTGAACCATGACCTCCTGGTTCATAGGTTGATGCTCAACCACTGAGTCACGCGCCAGGCTCCTGTGACTCTCTTTATGGCGAGCCCCACCCTGTAGCAGACCATTGTGACAAAAGTCATAGAGGGTGCAAGGGTGCAAGATGTCCATGATCAGACACAGGTCCTGCAACTAAAGGCCAGAGGAAGGCACCCTGCTTCTGAGTGACATGTGCACGGCTGCGAGTCCCCAGGCTGCCGCGGGCTCCAGCAGGGGAAGCGCCCTTGACCCTGCCCGTGTTGGGGACCTGGCCGGCCAGTTTACCTCATGAGCTGCTCAGATGATAGAGCTGAGGGACTCAGCACAACTCTGGCGGGGGGGGGGGGGGGGGGGGGGAGGGAGGGAGGAGGGGGGAGGAAGGCACAGGAGAGGGGGGAGGAGGGAGGAGGGAGGAGGGAGGCGCACGGGAAGGGGGAAGGCTTCAGGAAAGGACTATGAACACAGGAGCGACTCAAGCATTCCCCTCTGCCCGGCACAGCACTGACGAGCTCACAGAAGTCACCCCTTTTCATCTGCACCACAGCCCCAGGCGCAGAGCCTGGTGTCCCCAATTCAGAGACAAGGCACCGGAGCCTGGAGAGCTGAGCCGCTTCCCCAGGTGGCTCAGCTGGTCATGGTGGAACCAGGGCTGAAGTCTGGGTGCAAGACAGGTACTTGGTGGGTGTTGTTTGGGGAAGATGGACCTCGCCCATGCTTTCAGAAGTTCTGCACCCCGGGCCTCTTCCCATGAGCAATTGTGCTCCGGGGGCTCCCCCCTGCCTGTCCTGTGACTCAGGACCCTCCACAGTCCTGGCCACCCCGCCCCTGCCTGGGGGGGGCCGCCGCCCTGGCACCCACCCTCCTCTGTGTGTCTCTCTGCACACTGGCACCATTAACCAGGACGGGCAGAAAACTGTTTGCTTTGTCCAGCGATCCGTTTCGCCAGCCAGAGAGGTGTTTTTCCACTCCGAAGAGGCCGTTTCTCTTCCTCTCCCGTCGTGCACTTCCTGCTTCGTGCCTGGTGAGATGATGTTTCTGTCTGTAATAACGGAAGAGTGTCTGGGGCTGGTAAGAAACAGGGCGCAGCTGGGAACATCTCTGGCATCATAATTATTGTCATCACTTAAGAGCTGCTAAGTGGACCTGAGTGCCTGCTGCAGACGTGGCCGAGCAGGGAGAGAACAAAGTCCAGAAAGATGGAGCGAGCTTCCTGCCTCCAGGATGCCTGGATGCACATCTCCGCCAGCGCGCCCAACGCCCGGAGCCTGGCGCGCACGGGCACGCAGACACCGAAACCAGAGGCTGTCCGGACAGATCGCGGGGCTCCCAAAAGGGGTGCTGATGCTCCGCCAGGGGACCACACCGACAGCCGCGCGCTAATATACCCACGCACAGCACTTAGACATGATGCATATGCTCACATGCAGGTACATGCTCAGACATACATGATCAGACACAGTCCTGCAGGATCCACTGGCCCCACCCTCCCCCTCACTCTTTGGGCTCTGGCATCTCTAGTCTTTGCATTCTTTTTTTTTCCTTTTTAAAATATGTTTTTATTGCCTGACCAGTTTGGCTCAGTGGATAGAGCGTCGGCCTGCAGACTGAAAGGTCCCAGGTTCGATTCTGGTCAAGGGCATGTACCTTGGTTGTGGGCACATCCCCAGTGGGGGGTGTGCAGGAGGCAGCTGATCGATGTTTCTCTCTCATCGATGTTTCTAACTCTCTATACCTCTCTCTTCCTCTCTGTAAAAAATCAATAAAATATATATTTTTTAAAAAAATATGTTTTTATTGCCTGACCGGTTTGGCTCAGTGGATAGAGCATCGGCCTGCAGACTGAAGGGTCCCAGGTTTGATTCCGCTCAAGGGCATGTACCTTGGTTGTGGGCACATCCCCAGTGGGGGGTGTGCAGGAGGCAGCTGAACGATGTTTCTCTCTCATCGATGTTTCTAGCTTTCTATCCCTCTCCCTTCCTCTCTGTAAAAAATCAATAAAATACATTTTTTAAAAAATATGTTTTTTAAAAAAAATAAAATAAAAATAAAATAAAATGCTAATAAATTTTCAAAGTTGGAAAGAAAAAAAATATGTTTTTATTGATTTTAGTGAGGAGGGGAGAGGGAAAGAGAGAACTGGATACTCTGATGAGAGAGCATCATTGACTGCTGCCCCTGCTCGCCCCCTAATGGAGACTGAGCCCACAACCTGGCATGTATCCTGGCCAGGAATCAACCTGTGACCTCTTGGTTCATAGGTGGAGGCTCAACCACTGAGCCACACTGGCCGGACCAGTCTTTGCATTCTTCAAGCCATGCCCCTCCTGCCTCAGGAGGGAAAGGCAGCAGGCCCGTGTTTGGGGAACAGCAGTAGATCCTGCCAGCAAGGTGGCTGCCATGGAGGTTGAACAAGAACAAGAACAAAGCATTCTCTCTGCCTCGAACACACTTCCTCCTGCTCTTCCGCTAGAGCAGCGGTTCTCAACCTGTGGGTCGCGACCCCTTTGGCGGTCGAATGACCCTTTCACAGGGGTCGCCTAAGACCATCCTGCATATCAGATATTTACATGATGATTCATAACAGTAGCAACATTCCAGTTATGAAGTAGCAACAAAAATAATTTTATGGTTGGGTCACAACATGAGGAACTGTATTTAAAGGGCCAGAAGGTTGAGAACCACTGAGTGAGTGTCTCCTGACCCTTCAGGTTCTAGCACCAACGTCTCTTTTCCAAGGAAGCCTTCCCTGATCCCCTGGCCGCCCTGAGCACCATCCCCGACCGGACAGAGCCAGCTATGGGTGGTCATATCTTGATATAATTTGTCTTCACACACTTATGGCAGGTGTGTTTAGTGTATGTTTGAACCCATGAGACCTGGGATCTTGTGTGTTTCTCAGCTGTAGCCCTAGGTGAGTGCCTGCCTCGTGGCAGATGCTCAGAAATATTTGCTAAATGAACAAACCCTCGGGCATGTGGAGAGCTCACTATCCACACGGGCGGTCACATAGGAACACATTCACACATGCTTTCATGACCGCCTGTAGCATCCTTTGAAGTGTAGGGTGGCAGACTTGGACACTGTGGAGGAGTAGACATTAATTCAACTCTCCTGAAAATAGTTTAACATTTTGGATAAAAGTGTAAACAACCTTACTTACAGGAATTGACCCGTAGGAGTTCACTGCTTCAGCATAAAGCAAGCACAACAGAATTCACGGAGGAGTGTTTATACCATCAAAATGTGGAAACTAGCTACCCTACTTATATGTCCACTGACAGAGTAAATTGATGCATCTATACAGTGAAACATTCTACAGTTATTGAAGATAATGATAATATCCATCCCCTTTCTTGTGTCATTGAGAAAAAGAAGTAGAGGTACAAAATAATTTGTATCATATGATCCTATTTATTTAAAACTAGTGGCCCGGTGCATGAAATTTGTGCACGGAGGGGGGGGGTGTTCCCCTCAGCCCAGCCTGCACCCTCTCTAATCGGGGACCCCTTGGGGGATGTCTGACTGGCAGTTGGACATCCCTCTCGCAATCTGGGACCACTGGCTCCTAACTGCTCACCTGCCTGCCTGCCTGATCACCCCTAACTGCGTCTGCCTGCCTGTCTGATTGCCCCAACCTCTCTGCCTGCCTGCCTGCCTGCCTGATCGCCCCTAACCTCTCTGCCTGTCTGCCTGATCACCCCTAACTGCCTCTGCCTGCCTGCCTGATTACCCCTAACTGCCCTCCCCTGCTGGCCTGATCTCGCCCCCAACTGCTCTCCCCTGCCAGCCCAATTGCCCCTAACCCCCTGCTGGCCTGATCTTGCCCCCAACTGCCCTTCTCTGCTGGCCTGATCACCCCTAACTGCCTCTGCCTCAGCCCCCACAACCATGGCTTTGTCTGGAAGGAAGTCGGACATCCAGAAGATGACCCGTCGACCCGGTCTAATTAGCATATTACTTTTTTATTAGTATTGATAGATCATATAGGATAGGATTGCTTAAATGGGGTGGGGGGGGGGAGCCTTTTTCAGCAGGAGGAGATGCTTTTGGCAGACAAAAATACATAATCCCTATATCTGGACTGATAGCCAGCCATATGCACTATACTGTCAAACTGGTCATGAAAAAACTGAACCGCTTTCTTACACCTTACACCAAATAGCTATTGCCCTTACCCCCCCTTAGCCCTCACCTTAGGTTCTGCCTTCGCAGTTCACCCAGATTTGGTTCTGATTGGTTGGTTTCTATGCCAGTCAGTGTCAAAAGCTCCACCTCCTAGGCAGCCATTGGCTCCTCACAGTTCACCCAGATTTGGTTCTGATTGGTCAGTTTCTATGCCAATCAGTGTCTCTGGGCCTATCTCCAGGCCTGATCAGGGAGGCAGGGCTGATCAGCAGCCCTCAGAGGCCTGGAGAGAAACAGACGTGGCTGCTGGCAAAGCCCAGAGAAAAAGAGAGAGACAAGGGCTGATCAACAGCTGCCACGGAGGCTACGGATCAGACCCTGCTTCTCTCTCCGAGCCTCTCTCCGGGCCTGATCTGCAGTCCCCTCGGCAGTCAGTGCTGGGTCGCTGTGCCCGGACCAGTGACCCAGAACTGACTGCAGGACTGACTTCCGGTTGGTGGAGCCTTCTGTTGTTTTGGACATTAGGGACCCTGGGTTTTTATATATTAGGATTATAGACCACTCTCTTTGAATGCATAAAGAGTTCTAGAATTTACCAGAATGCTAATAGTATTTACTTCTGGGTGGTGGGATTGAAGGTGATTTTTACTTTCTTCTTTGCAAGACTATCTACTTGAAAATATTGTTGAGATACAGTATGTTATGAAGTGTGGAGTTTATAGCACAATGTGTAGCACAAATATATGGTATCCTTTATATTATTTTCACAATTTTCAGGATTGTTGGGATTTTTTCCCTTTGCTTCCTTTCTTTATTAATATTTAGCTACTCATGCTAACACATTACTCCCTGAAGAACCTTGGACCTTGTAATCTTTCTTTTTTTTATGAAGAGTCAATATATTTTTTGAAATATGTTTTTATTGATTTTAGAGAGAGGAAAGGAGAGGGATAGAGAGATAGAAGCATCAATGAGAGAAAATCATTGATCAGCTGTCTTCTGCACACTCCTACTAGGGACTGAGCCTGCAACCCAGACATGTGCTAACTGAGAATCAGACTGTGACCTCCTGGTTCATGGGCCGATGCTCAACCACTGAGCCACACCGGCCAGGCAGGCCTTGTAATCTTACAAGGGTAGACGGATGAAGGTCTCATCTATAGTTTCTTTCTGCTGTTAGGAGGCATAGTCCTGTCAGCCCCCAGGCCCAGAGAGTCTTTCTGGCTGCCAGAGGAAGGAAGGAGCCAAAAGAGAAGGGGAGGCGCGTGCCGGGAGAGGCGCTTTCCGAAGTCCAGGCCGGCCTGCTGTCCTCGGGAGGAGGCACAGGGCGTCAGAGGCTGGCCCTGTCGGACAAGCTGGCGTCCTTGTTGTATTCTAGAGATGACAAGTGTGACGAGAAGATTAAAAAGGCACGGTCCAGAAATGAGGATGAAAGCCACTAGGGGTCTGGTGAGAGGTGGGAATCAGGTGAGAGGGAGGGGCTAACTTTACCGTGTTCGAGATCAGGTAGGAGGAGGGGCTTCCCTGCAGGTAGGTGCGTCACACCCAGAGGCCCTCTTGTGTACTTCGCTTCATTTAAATTAGGCCACAGGGAGCTTTCTGAGATTTCCCTCCTGAGGAACTCTGGGCCTTTCTGCTGAACCATTTGGGCAGAAAAGGGAAGGCAGTTTCAAGTGACGCGATAGACCACCTTACTGATCTGGAAAGGAACAGCTAAAATAAGTTAAATTGATTTGCGCAGCTGGCTAAGGATTTTCTCTCAAAGATTTACCTTCCAGAAATTTGCATTTCAAAAAATGGCTCAGATAAGAATTCTTGGAGACCTGGTATCTTCATTTTAAAGGTGCAGATGTTGGTCTCATAAAGCCAATGATCTCTAAGCATTTCCTTGAGGGACCCAGAATTAAGTTGCTGCCATCTAGTGAGTACGCACCCAGAGGGTCTCTCGGGCACGTGGATGGAGGCGGTACTGCCTGTTGCCTTCAGGGAGAGAAAGCTTTCTTCCTAGTGAAAAAGGGAGGCATCGGATCGCTGAGAGGCCCGAACATCCTCAGGGCTCCCCAGCCCCACGTCACGTGACCAAAACTCAGGATGGTGTGTGACCCCTTTTTTCTGGCCATTGGCTCCCAAGGCCTGTTCCTGCCTGTACCAGCCCT